TATGCTTGGCAAAGGTAGTAGCAGCACCCGCAACAGTAATAGTATTAATCGTACTCATATTATCATTATTTGCTGTAGCAGGAACAGTCGTAGTAGTAATAGTTGTGGTAGTAGTCGTCACGGTAGTAGTAGGTGTCGTCGTAGTAGTAGTAGTAGTAGTAGTAGTAGTAGTCGTAGTAGTGGTCGTAGACGTAGTAGTCGTAGTAGTCGTAGTAGTCATAATAGTAGTAGTAGTAGTAGTAGTAGTAGTAGTAGTAGTAGTAGTAGTAGTAGTCGTAGTCGTAGTCGTAGTCTTAGTAGCAGTAGTAGAGTAGTAGCAGTAGTAGTAGTAGTCGTCGTCGTCGTCGTCGTCGTCGTCGTCGTAGTAGTAGTAGTAGTAGTCGTAGTAGTCGTAGTAGTAGTAGTAGTAGTAGTAGTAGTAGTAGTAGTAGTAGTAGTAGTAGTAGTAGTAGTAGTAGTAGTAGTAGTAGTATTAGGCGTAGCAGTAGTAGTTGAAGTAGAAGTAGTAGTAGTAGTCGTGAGTGGTAGTAGCGGTAGTGGTAGTGGTAGTGGTAGTAGTAGTAGTAGTAGTAGTAGTAGTAGTAGTAGTAGTAGTAGTAGTAGTAGTAGTAGTAGTAGTAGTAGTAGTAGTAGTAGTAGTAGTAGTAGTAGTAGTAGTAGTAGTAGTACTAGTTGTCGTCGTGGCAGTAGTAGGAGTGGTAGTAGGCTCTCGCATCCGCCGTAGCTGGTGGTTTCCCGCTCCTCTATTGCAGGTGTCTAATTCTGGCCGTCAATACGTGTATATGAGTAGCGAGCACAACATATTATTCGTTCGCACTTTATATATGTCCAGAGTCATGTGATCCGTTTGAGTTTCAAAAGGACTTCGTCGGATTCCGTAAACTTGCTATGGCATCGCGTAGGGATCCTATAGCACTTTTATGCCACTCCTATGGCCTCCGTAGGACGGCTATATCACCCCGTAGCGATCTCATAGCACGACCAGGCCCCTTTTATAGGATCCCGTATGGCTCCTACAACACCCCGTGGGGATCCTATAGCAGTCGTATGCCCCTCCTATAGGGTTCTGTAGGAGTGCTATCGCATTCCCGAACGGGTTCTAGACCACTCCTATACCCACCCCTCCCATGGGATTCCGTAGGACTGCTACAGCATCCCGTAGGGATCTGGTCGCACTCCCATGCTCCTCCCATCGGATTCCGTAGGCTTGCCATCGCATGGCTTAGCAGGGCCTACCAAAGCTTACCAGGGTTCAGCAGGACTTACCAGGACATACCAGGGCCTGCCAGGGTTTATTCGGGTTGAGCAAGGTTTAGCCATGCTTACCAAGGGCTAGCAGGACTTAGCCTTGCTTAGCAGAGCTTAGCGGGGCTTCGTAGGGCTAGCCAGCTTTCAGCAGGGGCTTGCAGGTTCACCAGGGCGGACCAGGGATCTGCCAGGCTTACCAAGGCCGAGCAGGGACTAGAAGGGCCGAGCAGAGCTTAACGGGGCTTCGCAGGGCATAGCAGAGCTTAGCAGGGCTCAGCCGGGCTTGGCTGGGCTTGGCAGATCTGAGCTGGGTGTAGCAGAGTTCAGAAGGGCTTAACGCTTGTAGCAGGGCTTGCCAAAAAGCTTGACCGGGTTTAGCAGGGCGTCGCAGGTCTTCGCGGGGTGGAGCACCGCTTAGCAGAAGGTAGCAAGGCTTCGCAGGACTTGGCGGGGCTTCGCAGGGCTTCGCCAAGCTCAGCAGGGCCTAGAACGAGTCCCCGCCCATCTATGGCCAGTACGTTGGTTTGATTTTCAATATATGAGCATGAAAGCATTAATTGTGTTTTGTGTACTTCGCATTTCTTCCATGGCCAGCATCTGTGTATAGTGGGTGTATACTATATCAGGGTTCTGATATACTGGGTTTCCATTAGATTGGGTTTCCAATATATCAGGTTCCCAATAAATCAAGGATCCGAAATATGTTGTTTCCAATATATTTTGTTTCCCGTTTATTGGGTTTCCAATATCTGAGAGAGCGTGATCCACCGCCGCTTTAGTGTGGAAAATTGCCGCCCTTTTCCTCCGGAGCCCGGGTGTCCCCCACCCACCCCCTCGCGAAATCCCCCCCAGCCCCCCCCAGTCTGGACACCCGGCCCCCCCCCCACCCCCCCCTCCCTCGCCCTAACCCCCGGCAATACCCACCCGCCTACCCCTAACACCCCCCACTCCCGACCCTTCTTCCTCTCGAAAACCGGGGGGGGTCACTACCGGTTCGAACTCCCCCCTCCGTTCTCTCGAAAACTGGAGGGGGGTCACTACTGGTTCGAACCCCTCCACCCCCCCACACTCACCGCCAGCAAACGACTCCCGGTCCCTACCACCGTCCGCATCACATCCCCCACTGTTGTTCCCAACACCACTGTCCTCACCACCGCTGTCCCCACGGGTTCCACCACCGTCCCTACTTTCCCCACCAGTGCCCCCACCACTGTTGCACTGTCCCCACTGTCCCCACCACTGTTCCCACCACGGTTCCACTCTCCCCACTTTCTCCACGGCCCCAACCACTGCCCGACTATCCTCATTGTCCCCCCTGTCCCACTGACTCCTCCGCTGTCCCACTGAGCTGTCCCACTGTTCCGACCACTGTCCCCACTGTCCCCACCATTGTCCCCACTGTACCTCTGTCCCATTGTCCCACCGCCGTCCTCGCCACCGCCTTCACCACTGTCCCCACCACCACTGTACCCTCCACTGTCCCACTTTTTCCACCACATTCCCACTCTCCCCACACCACTGTCCCCACCACCACCGTCCCCACCACTGTCCCACTGTCCCCACTGTTCCCACCATTGTCCTCACCATTGTCCCCACCACTACCGACCCCACCACTGTCCCACTGTCCCCACCACTGTCCCGCTGTCCCCTCACCACTGTCCCCACCACCACCGTCCCCACCACTGTCCGCACCCCCCCTCGGTTTTCGAGGGGGGGTGGGGGGGGGTTCGAACTGGTAGTGACCCCTCCCGGTTTTCGAGTTCGAGGGGGGGGGGTTCGAACCGGTAGTGACCCCCCCCCTTTTCATGATGAACTGGGGGGGGGGATGGATTTTCGAACCATTAATTGATCCCCCCCCCCCCTCCCTCATGCCCCCCCATTTTTTTCCGATGGGGGTATAGTTGTGTGGGTTTGGTTTGTGGTGGGGGGAGGGGTTCGAACCGGTAGTGACCCCCCCCGGTTTTCCGCCAGCAGCGGTAGAACACGCTCTTTCCAATATTTGGTTTCCAACGTATTGGGTTGCCAACCTGAACCCAATCCCAAACCCAAAACCAAACCCAAACCCAAACCCCACAGTCCATAAGTCAAGTGTGACCCTACTACTAGTACTAGTAGTAGCAGTAGCAGTAGTAGTAGCAGCAGCAGCAGCAGCAGCAGCAGCAGTAGTAGTAGTAGTAGTAGTAGTAGTAGTAGTAGTAGTAGTAGTAGTAGTAGTAGTACGAGTAGTAGTAGTAGTAGTAGTAGTAGTAGTAGTAGTAGTAGTAGTAACAGTAGTATTAGTAACAGTAGTAGTAGTAGTCGTAGTAGTAGTAGTAGTAGTAGTAACAGTAGTAG